GCGTGCCGGAACAAAAACTCCGACGTGAAAGTAATTCTCCTCGGGAGATTAAAGACGGCATGCTTAGATGATCAGGTATTAGGTGTTCTGTGCTCTATACACACCTGCGCCGATTATGACATAGTCCACGCGTATTGCTATAAAGTTATAATTATGAATGCTGAAAGTATGCCGCCGTTGCTGTTTAAATGTATAATCATAGTTAATATAATACCGTAGCTACTGAAAGAATAATGGACCTATAAATGATTCTATATTATTTTTCAATAACTATTAGGTGGATAGATTTCTGATTTTGGAAAGCATCCTCTTTTTTTGCAACGAACTAGACTAGTCAACTACAAGTGATTGGAATAGATTTGATTCACCTCGCCCTCTCAAAAAAGTAAAAACAATGTGTCACGCGAATTTAATTTATATTAAAAATGGAATAAGTAGGGTTTTGAATGTATCACCATCTTTCATTCATTTCATTTTCATTTTATATGTAGAAATTAGTTTAACTAAGTTAATCACTTGACATTGGCAGAATTGTGCGAAACGCGCAGGTAAGCCATTAATAAAGAAGAATTAATAGGGTTTTACTATCAAGAAAATCAAAAGAACATTTTAAATACACTACACACTTAGATGGAAATGAGACAATTTCCATCTAAGTCCTAAGATTGGTCTTAATATCTTAATTACAAATAATTGCGCAAATGAACACAGTATATTAGTGACTTAATTTAATAAATAGTTGACACGAACTCATACCGTCTTATTATAAAACGAAGATTAAAATTCGTTCGTACTTTGTTTAAACCACAGGCCACCCAAATCATATTAACTTCTGGGATATAGACAATGATAGAAGAGAAATTAGGATTAGATTAATCGATCGTTATCAGAAGCTGTAAAGACCGGCGCACATATATAAAAATTGTAATGAATACGACAAAGCGAAATCGTGTGTAAATTTGCTTTGTGACACTCGATTCATTCCGCCTATCCCGCAAGGAATCCAGTTGGAATCCTATACAAGAGACAGAATAAAATATTCGAGAGCATATTGACCCTTGATGTTCCCCTAGTTTACGATTGCGTTCCAATACGTCGCCACCACTAGTAAATATTCATAAATTGATTCTTATACTTAAACTGGCCGCCCGCGCCAAAGTGCAAGACGACTGCTATGCATAGAAACACTCCATTGTTTTCCACTGTTGTATGAATGAGGTAATAAACTAACGACGCCCTTATTTAGGGTTCGCAGACGGTCATATTCCATCGAATTGGTCCTTCTCCGTAGCCAAATGTTAAAAAATCATTTCATATACAAAATTTCGTTATTTCATAATTATTTTTGTTGTTCCTCTTGTTCCTATCACCTTTTACGCTGACGTCGTACAAATTTACACTCAAGCACCCTTGTCGCAAGTTTCAGAGGCAGTATCTGTTGTCAACTCAGATTTTACCCTTATAAGTGATTGGAGTAATTCATATGGTCTCTTACTGTTGACCCGTCTAAAACTCAAATTATTTTAATTGGCAGTTCTCATTTTACTTCTAGGATCAAGTTTGAGTTACTACCAACAATAACTTTTAATGGTACTTTTGTCCCTTATTCTAAAACTGTAAAGAATCTTGGAGTTATCTTCAATCAAGGTCTCACTTGGAAACCACAGATAGAGGCGGTTAGAAAAAAGATATTTGCCACATATGGGTCACTTAATCGCTTGCGCAAATTCCTGCCTACTCGAACCAAGATCTCCTTGGCGCATTCTCTACTTTTATCTATTATCGATTACGCGAATATCTGTTATACGGATTTGTCGGAAGAACTTCTTAATAAATTGGAGCGTCTACAGAATGTTTGCATCAGATTCATTATCAATCTACGTAAATTTGACCATGTGTCGCATTTCCGGTCCGAACTCAACTGGCTCCCAATTCGCCGGCGCAGGGACTTACATACTTTAAAGCTTCTCTACTCTAAACTTTTCCTTCCCTCTTCTTCATCTTATCTCAAACAGTGTTTTGCTTTCCGTTCTTCTTCATCTCAGAGTACCTTGCGATTCATAACTAATCTCGCCTTGGACATTTCTCGTCATTTTACCGACTTTTTCTCCTATTCCTTTTTTTGTGAATGCTGTGCAGTTATGGAACTTAGGAGGAAGAGGTTGCCTGGAAGAGATTGCTGCTTAGCAATAAGGCCGCCTTTTGTATTTTTTTTGTGATTATCTGTAACTTGTTTTGTTTTTGTTCTGTTGTGTGCAATGACGTATATTATTAATATTTTTAATTACATTATAAAAATATTTTATAAATTAAATCTATTTAAATTGAATTTAAACTTGTTAGAATTTGTTATAAAATAAATAAAAGTAAATAAGTATGAAATCATAATTTACCTAATATTAATAAATAGCTAAAATATTTATTATAAAGCGGTAAAGTATATAACATTTCTTGTTGGTTTGGAGGGGGTAAGTTTTGGAAATACTGATCCAAATGGTTTATTCAAATTATATTACATAATTATTATTTATGCTGCACTTTGTGTATGTGTAACATCCACATTATTAAATTTCACATTAGACTATACTTGTCAAAATTGCCCACACAATTCAAAACCTTAATACATTGAGGGTAAAGGTCAAAATCCATTATAGAAATTGTGAAAAAAACATATTGTGGTAACCTGACGTTCAGCTGTAAATAAGTATATTAACATCACAAATAATAAGTTTCCTACAAAAAAATGGAGTTAATATATAAATATCTGTCTATAAGACTAGGTATACATGCTAATAACTATGACTGTGTACTGTATATACCCAAAAACAAAAACCAAAAAGGTCCAATCTGTAAACTACACGTGATATTTAAATATCTTCTATTGAACTTAGTGACGATTGCCTACGACCATTGTCTTCATTCATGATGATAAATGATAATACACAAGAGTTGACCTTTACCTAGCGCTCGCTACTTAGGATCTGAATAATTTTATCGGTTATCAATGCAAAGATCGTACAAAGACGTGGCCATTTGGAGTTTGTTAGTGTTGCATGAAAAGGGGCTTAAATATACGGTTGCTGTATTAATATTTCCTAGTAATTCTATACTTATAAAGAGGTAATGTTTCAACCTTTGTTACATTGTTAATAATGAGTAATCTTCAGAAATACTGGTTCGATTATGAAAACTCTTTCAGCTACAGATAGCTACATAATACGTGGATAACATAAGCCATAATTAATGGTGCCGAAATAACGGGAGAACAGCTAGTAATAAATATATGAAGTGAAATAACGAACTGCTATGTTGATACGGTGCTCAATTTCCAATCTAAGTAGCTAAAGAACTTTTACTATGGAAATCTGAAATACTATGACATATTTATTATATTTCATTTAAATTCAAAGTGCCACAAAAAATATGCCTCGAAAACCCATAACACCACTCTGCCCTCCTTTCAGACCCACTGTTATTGGTGCCAACTCCGTTGTCCCTCGTCTATCCCGAATCCTCAACAGTTACTGTAATCAAATAGATATTTTAGACTCGCCTAGTAAAATAAGAAATATTATAATAGATCAGTGAAAAACACACTATATTAGAGCACTGAATTGATGTAAGTGGTATCTGCTTGTAATTAGTTTATGTATTCTAATCTTAAATTAGATGTAATTATTATTTGTTAACCATAAATAGTGCATTAAACTGTAAGTAGACCTAATAAAAAAAATAACATTGCACACAGATATTCAATAAAGAGTAAAGATTGGATTGTTTGTTTCATTGCATTGAATTTGGCTTTGAAACTACTGTAGGGTGATTCTGCTAATGTAAGCTTAATTATGAAAAGTCAATCGCGCTTCAACTACAACCTTCATGATACAGCTCTTGTTACTAGATCATAAAATAATAAAAATATCTGTAACCACTGATTTATAAGGAAGACATTGGACTAATAATATTGGACTTCAGGTAGATAATTCAATGGCAAAATACAAGTAGCTGAGGATATTACGTTTTTAAAAAAATCTGTCACCTACGAGAAGCAACATTATACGAGGATGACGCACGCTATAATTTGTATAATATTTCAGATGAATTTCTCTTTGCTTATGAAAGTGTTTTTTTTTTTTTTTGGTTTAACTAAAAATGTTATTATTACGATAATGACTTAATCATGGCAGCCCTGAGTGAAGGTACACATGGTACACGCCAATCGCCACGCGGAAGTCCCACCTTTAATAATGGCAACATTATCTCGCAGATTCTTTGTATCAGGATAATAAGGCCGATCTAGATCTAATAACAATGCGAAACATCTGTTTAAAATAATGTCTCTTGATTACACTTTTCATTTTTATATTTTCTTGCACTTTTCCACTTGTTTTATTTTATATCTTTTATTTTCTATAACATATAACATTACATTATACATTATTTTGTTTATTACATTTTTATTCACATTTTGTTGTATTACATATTTATCTAATTCTATTCTACTGTTACATTTAGCTGCTGATACTTATATTCAAATTTTTGTTATTACATTTTATATTTGTACACTTTGGCTTACTTTAAAACTTACTAACTAATATCACAGTTATATTGTGTTAGTATTTAATATGTTACTTATCTAATATTATCTTTTTATTCGACATTAAAAGTAATAAATAAAAAATCGGTCAAAATTTGACGAAAATATCGGTGAACATACATAAAAAACATACATTGCCGTCGAACATATAACCTCCTCCTTTTCGATTTTAAAATCGGTTAAAAACAAAGAATAGCTTTTTTTTAAAAGCAGTTAGTCGGCGTATATTTGAAATATCGTGCATTTTATAGTGCATAGCAGAACTTTATTTTTGTTTTTATATTTACTAAACATTCTTCCTTCTCGAATATATTTTAAATCCGAGTCTGTGTCAGAGGTCGGTTCTTAGCGGGTTGTGGGCACGAGTAAAGGGGGAGGTGGTAAGAGCGCGGTCACTCACGAAATGGTAATTGTGGTGGAATGCTGGGAATCCGCCGCTTTCGTGTGCGATTTCCCAATAACAACCCAATCAGGGATAGGGTACAGCGACTTCCAGACCAGTCGGAATCACTGGCCACCTCCCCAATTCGTTCGTATTATACCAATAAGTATGGGAGTCGTGATGAGACCCACGCCTAGGGCGCAGCGGACAGATGCGCGGAAGTCGAATGCATGCGAAGATTTTTTATTTTTTTAGTGTATATATTAAACTGTCTTCGCCTCGAGCCTCGCGAACATGTCCTCGCACCCTTTTTAAGCAAACAATGCGACGGCCGGCTTTCGTTCAAACAATCATTATTTTCAAATTAATCCACGAACGTCCAAGACAAATTTCGTTTACGACCGGAACGCACGTCTGAGATCGATTCCCATAGAATTCATGCGTTGGGAACGAATAAAAAAACACAATTTTATACAAAACCATCAAAAATTACCAAAATCCGGTACCAAATTATTGTGTGATTTGTCTCGGCTCACACACAAGTTAATTGTTTTATTTCGGCAGGTAAAATTCTGATAATTATTGGGCTTGGCCGACAATAGACAAAAGACAGCCGACGAGCACGCTATTTTTTTATTTAACCCTCTACCTGCGATAGTTTTGGTTTAATAACTATGCACTTTGTTCTTATAAAGTTCGATGTTATTATTATTTCAAGACTACACATGAGTATTTATCAACTGTTGACATAAATAGCTTCGTTATTTTTTTGGTATGTTCTGATAGACTGAAAAAAATATTATATATATATAATATTTAAAAAATATTAAATCTACAACTTTTCATAATAGAACCAACTAAGAAAGTAGTTTATATATGAACATATTTTAGTATTGTATTACTAACCTAAAATTACCGTAACGTAATTTAATGAATTTTGCATTTACAATGCAAAATAAATAAAGACCTCGGTAATATTTTATCTTTAGTACTATTTGGTAAAATGGGAACATTAATTAAAACTATGTAACATGGCATGTCAATTTTATTGCTCGAACCCACACTTTTACTACGAATACTATAATTTTCGACATATTCTTATAAATTAAAAAGAGTATAAATACTTTGTCTGCCTCAAGTCTGTAGTCAGAAGCTACCGTATGTGTGTAATAAAAAAACTATATGGCGTTATGAACGCACATTATATACTGAATTCACCATCATAAATCTAACGTACTTCTCGTAGACAAGTGCCTGTGACTGCGCATATCATAGTAAAAGATGGATCATCATAAAGTTTCCACAAAATAACGTCGTGTTTTGAATTTAAATTAATTTCATAGAAAATATTTATTGCACAATTGGACACAGAAAAGCATCAACGGCATGTTTAATATTCATCTTGGATACGTCGATCTTTTGTAAGATTGTTTATTAAAAAAGGTGTAAATAAAATAACAACAGAACGTGTTTCAAAACATTGTGTAACTTATAACCGAAGTAGAAAAAGAAAACTCTATAGAGACAGGTATCGAAATAAAATCTACTTCATAAATACATAGGTTACATTAGAAATTAGGTTAATAATAACCTCTATCAAGCTTGAAAAAATAACATTTTGCAAATACCTGATTGCTTGTTATTAATATGTAAAGGCCATATTGCACGCAACATTTAATTAACTACACGTAACAGTAGAATAAAAATGATATAACAGGTAATGGCCGACAAGTGGGCGGTCAACGATTTTCTTTTTAAAAAGTAACAATTCAAAATAAATGAAAGATCGTTTAAAGAGAAAAATAATTACCCAATATGTCCGCAGCACTGCTTATCAGGCGCCTGTTTAAACGAAATTTTAATAACGCGCGTAAAGGTCGATTACAGACGTCGTTTTTTAAAGATGGCCGAAACAATCGAAGATTATTACATGCAGCATACAACTTTTTTGGCCGAAATCGACCCTGATTTCTGAGTATAACGATTATAGCCTGTAATATCTGAACTTTATTATCTAAAAGTAATTGTTAGTCCGAAATACAACATTGACTAAATATAATTTCATGTATAATGAATTATAAACCTTTACAATGTAATAAAATGTAAATACAAGCATTATTTAGGTATTAACACTTCAGAGTATCTATATTAATTTATATTGAAAAAATGTTAATCAGTCATCCGAATCACAAAAGATTTTTCATCCACTTTCATAACTAACAAAAAAGTCTTGAAGCAACATCTTTGTATAAAGCTCATATCTCAAAGCTAATGAAGCTACTGTTTGTCTCTTTTATTCGACCTTCCATGAATTATAAAAAGTTTGTTGTCCCAACCAATTCCGATTCATCCACATACACAAACAGTGCTTTAACGCCGTCGTTCTATTCAAATATGGCATATACAAGTCGTAAATAAACGAACAGCTTTTAAGATTTTGTTTCAACACAATCCGTTTACAAAGTAACCTCTCTCGGGCATAGTTAAAAGGGCGTGCTCGGCACCCACCAGTCACTCCAACTCAAAAATTACTTCATTACCACATTTTGAATTCATGAGTGATACAATACGCGCTGAGCATTGGATCTGTTAACAATGTTGTAATGTTAGTGCACATTGTATAAGGTAGAGAGGGAAGAGTTGAATTGTCGATTGTTTCACGGTGTGGTCGGAGAATGCGGTTCGTGAGAAAAAAAAATGCTCTCGCTTCCGATGCGCTCGGATAGATAAGCGCAGGTGGTGAACGCTTGCACCCCGCCCGTTTCATATTTTAGAATAAATTATGTTTTATTTTTTTTTTCACATTTATATAATAAATTTTGAGACAATACATTATATTGTACAGCCGATGACGTCCTGTTCTCAACTCTTTGCACTTGTTTTGCGTCGAAGGTCTTGCCTCCACACATCTTCCGTAAAACCTAGTAGCTGTGCTAGTAGTCTCGGATGTTTCTATAATAGAATCTATTCGTATCCGAAGTTCGGTATCCGAAGGATAAAAACGGGACCCTATTAAGACTCCGCTATCCGTCTATCTTTTATAGCTAGACAGTAATTTTCACAGATGATGTAGTTTTGTTGCCACTATAACAACAATTACTAAAAACCGAATAAAATAAATATATAGGGGGGCCTCCCACGAAGGTAATATAGACGAATCCACCATAATTTTATGTACATAGGAACTCTTTTGTCATATTTCTTTTTCTTTTTATATTCTATAAGCTGTATAAAACTTCTTCACTCAAGATTTACCAGTATGGCTAAGTTCCTTCGCCTGTCTCAGTGGACGAAGCAAACTTTTACTATTATCAATATCAGTGATCATATTCATTACCATATAAATATTACCGTGACATAGTTTTTTTTTTAAATTAAAATACATATGGCATAGCAGGCATTTTTAGTACAATATTTAATAAAAAATCAGAAAACAATATAGATAAGTTAGTTTTTGTCTTAATTGTTAATTAGATTAACAGCAGCGAAACAACATCAAGTCTCTACAATATTTGTATACTATGAATGGTGAATGAATGAATTAGATTTATTTATCAGTAACTAAGGTCAGAAAAAAGCTATAATTATAATTAAAAAAAATCATTTTTGTACTCGTACTCGTAAAAATTAATCCCACCCGGCTAGAATGACGTTTGTGCAAAGTACAACGTGCAGATACTTAGGTTGTCATGTCGAACTTAAGAATATATTTAACATAAAAAAACTAAGATCGGACAATAAATCTTATTTTATCTCATTAAAAAAATCGACAATCCACAAAAAACAGAATAAAAGAACAGTTCGATACAAACAGCAGAATACTTTAAATTTCAAAATCACAAAGACACTACTGAACTCGTATAGCGTCGGCGAGACGTCGTACAGGGTAGCGTGGAAGTACAGAGTTTCGAGCCTGGTGTAGTGTTAATTCGATCGGTGGATAAGTGATTTTTTCGTTTTACCAATAATATTGAATATAATGGGTAGGCTTCCTACTCAACCTACTCTAGAAATCAGTTTTTTTAAATATGGTACTTATTTATATCGATATCGTTCGACGTATGGACGCTCAATGAAAATAAATGAAAATATCTTTATTCAAATAAGCTTATTAATTTTCGATACTAAAATGTTATGAAATGAGACTTACCTATATTAAGTTCTAATTTGTTTAAACTGCAGTATTTTTCAAACCTAGCAAGGTCCTGTTGTAACATAAAACTATCGTCAACCGTGTTTATCTGCTTAAATATTTTTAAATCATCTGCATATAGTAAGAAATTAGAGTGTGGAAACAACCTTATATCATTTATAAAAATATTAAATATCAAAGGCCCAATCAAGGAGCCCTGAGGAACCCCAGAAGGTATACTATGCCATGCAGAAACAAAACCGTTAATTGCCACAGCCTGAGAACGGTTATGTATATAAGATGAAAACCATCTAAATAAGTTTCCGTGTATTCCTGCAGCAAGAAGTTTCTGTAAAAGAATTTTATGTCAATTTAATCGAATGCTTTGGAGTAATCAGTAATTACAGCATCCACTTAACTGCCAGAGTCCATGCATGAGGTTGTGAATTCGACGATGATTAATAGATTCGCAGTAGTTGATCTTTTTTTAAGGAAACCATGTTGTTCTTCTATAAAGAAGTTCGACAAAGAATCATATACCTGAGTATGTACAAACCGTTCGAAAAATTTTCGCGAATAAGCATAATTAAGAAATAGGCCTATAGTTCTCCACATGTCCTCTATCCCCACTTTTGTGAATTGGGGCAATGAAAGCAGATTTCCATATATTTGGAACAATACCTTTATTTAGTGATCGCCGAAACAGAATCGTTAAGGGTTTGAGCAAACTTTTTACGCATCTAGAGATAAAAATTGGAGATATGTGATCAGGTCCTGGTCCTTTAGTTTCATCTATTACCTCCATTAATTTATACAAAGTCTTCTGGTCAATTTCGACGTCATTTATACTATTTTTATACCCGTGTGAGTTGACACGATCGTTGGATGTAAGATCATCATAACTTTGAGGAAGAAATGTCGGTTGAAAATATGCGGCAAAGAGATTGCAAATCTTTTCACCAATGTCAGCTGTCCGACCTTTGTATGTTAATGTTGAGGGCAAAGATTGATTATTATTTTTGTTATATTTGACATAGCTCGAAAAAAGTTTGGGGTTATTGGTTATTGCATTTTCACATTTATCTAGATAATCTAGGTAACACTCCTTTTCAATAATTTTAGCTCTCTTACGGAGCAAAGAAAACGTCTGATAATCATCAGTGTTGCCATAAATACGATATTTAAGAATAACTGCAAATAATCTGCATAATCAGTAATTTAACTAGTATTTGTTAGCTTCCTTAATGATAAACTGTGTTTTATATGGAGACAATTTGCCTTCTTGCCGCTCCCACAGCGATAGTAGTGCGGTTTTATTAGATTTTGATGTAACAAGTATATTTCAAGTAGATTTTAAACCTTCATATGAGTATCTCAATAAATAATTTTAAGACATGTTTTTTTACTGATAGCTTTAAATAAAGCAGATCAATGGCGTCGTGTTAGTGCATTGTCGTTAATTCGACGTGCTACGAAAAAAGCACAATCTACATGCGAAAATATAAAATTAAACATTGGTCAAATTAAATCATATGTCGGCTTAACTTGCCGAAAATGGACTAAGGTTGTAAAGATTCTTCTCAGAATATAATCTGATTATAGGTTTAAAAAATATTGAATTGTATATTATAGCTTATATGTCAAGCTTTTAATTAGGGTAAAATGAACTTTGAGATTTAAAAAAGCTGAATCTATATGAGCTTATACAATTATAATATTTTTGAGTTCTTGTGCCCATTACGACCTTTGTAATTAATTGTATATATCATAAATTGTTGGTGTATCCACTTTTTGTGTTTCGTTTTTATTGATGATGAAAATTTGTAGTATTATTTTTTCTTTTCTGTCGTTTCTCTTTATTACGATTTTTTGAATTAGGGTATTTTTTTTTTATTATTACACTAATAACTAACAATATTATTCTCGCGCTTTTATTCTATCCTAAGAAGCTGTGTTACTTAACCAGTAACTAGGCTGTTATATCAAGTTGCATTTCATTACCAATGTTTTAATGTTACCTCTTCTGTGGTACATGCCGTCCATATAAACGGAATCGAAAATGGGCCTTCCGCAACATGGAGCGTTTGATTTGTCTAGAAAATAACTTTGGTCTGAGATAATATCCAGGGTCTGATGGAACTAGAAGGGACTTTGTAATTAAACACCGCAACCTCATCAAGTATGTCTATATCTCTGGTCCAACAAAAGATAGTTTTAAAAATAAAACTTATTTAAGAATATAATAACTTTATAATATTTAATCAATTTTATATTCATAATGCTATAAATTTTCATTAAATATAAAACATTAATATTGATTTATTTTTCATTTATTATATTGCATCCACAGGTAGAGCCGACTGGCTCGGCGTCACTAGGGGCGGCATCGCGAGCCCTCTTCGTGGAGAAAGTGCGCTCGTCCAACGCAGCCTGCCAGGCGGGAGACTTCGCCACCGCCGTAGCCCTGTATACGGACGCGCTCACACTCGACCCCGCCAACCATATCCTTTATAGCAACAGGTCTGGAAAAATACTTTTTTTATGATTCCAACAACAATTATTTCAAAAACTCTGTTGTCCTTACGCTTACGTTGCCATACAAATACGCAAACAAATACACATCGAGAGTAAGGAAGCGCTCGCTTAATTTCATACAATTTTAATCACAGAAAAAAACACGCTGTTATAATAAAAGTTTTTTTTTGTATATTTAAGATTATACCAAAACCTACTTTTATGTATATTTTTGAAATAATTAAGTTGAAATATTCTAGTCGTAAAATCTATCCAAAAACTCTATTTGCGGTTATCCATGCAATTCTTTCTATCTAATCAATTATTTAAATATGTTTTATTTTCATAAAATGATTTTTATTTAACAAATTTTAGCATAACTTTAGAATAAAATTAGCATAAAAAGTGGCAATTTCGTACAATATTGCCTTAAGGTCCAACAACTCCAGAAGATGTTCCGTCCGACCGACGCAATCAAGACTTGTGAAGATTTCCTAAATCAAACGAAAAAAATACACTGATATCATTTATTTTCCGTTTATGAAGTAGCTTTTAATATATCTTATTCGAAAGTCATTTCTTTGTACAAAATGAATATTTGGTGTACCCGTTCTCTTGCATCATTATTGTTCTTTTAATATTTTTATTGATGTCCAGATCTGCCGCACGGCTGAAGCAGGGTCAGTTTGCAGCGGCGCTACAAGATGCAACTCGCGCCCGGGAGCTTTGCCCGAACTGGCCGAAAGCATACTATAGACAAGGTAAATAAGCGACAAAAAATTATTTTATATTCGGAGGGCTTATGTGCCCTCCAAATATATAGTATATTAAGTCTTCATTCTTGACATAAATCGCAAAAATAAGAACCTACTCCTGAATAAAAAGTGTATGCTTCGTGGGTCATTCATTACAATCTCCATATGGATCCAAATATGGATTTCCAGAAACAAAACAATAGTACTTAATCTGTTGCATCTTTTATATTTTTTTCCATTAACTTTCTTTGTTTTATTAGTAGATTATTTATTATTGCCGTTTTTTCCAACCGATACCTAAATTTGTTTCTTATTCTTGTCTTTCATTTTTTTTTCTCTCTTCCTTCTCTTTCATAGGTGTAATGGTTAAAACTTCAGCTTTTTGAATCTTACACTTGCGGTTAGTTTTTTTTGGGCTAAGTGTTGGCAAAGGTCTGATTTCTGCAGGCTTATCGTGAGGAGTGAGGACGTGAGGAGAATATACTGGACGAAATAAAGTAGCATTCACTGGTGTAGTACACGTATTCTCTGCATGTCCTGTAATTCTACAGGCAGTTACCTTCCAGAACTTTTCTAGGAACTTCCCTTTTTAATATGTCGCTGCAAAGACAGTGTAGACTCATACTTCTTCGGGGCAGCAGATACCGAAGAGGATTTAGCGTCTTCCATTACCAAAAAAACCCGATGAATTATATTGAAAATGAATTTTGCCCTACCCGTTTTGCCCAAGAGTACCTTACTAAATAAAATAATAATAACCCCGAAATGGAAATTGAAACAACCAAAGAAATCCGCAGTCAGATAGAGGTTAATTAGAATGTTAATAACAACAATCGAATAATTATAAACATTTTCGACTAATTTAAAAAGACTTACCTTGCTTTTTTTACCAAAACTACCAAAAATCTTACGATACACACACCTACGATATGACGCGACTTTAGCGCCCTAGCGGAACTGATTGAAGATATTCGGTTGGTGACAACTCACGGCACATACTCACATCAACACTCAAGTATGACATAGAAGCGTACAACTACCTACCCGTTTAAGGCGGGCCACCCGTTTTAGGCTAGTTTCCCCTAGTGTATACTAATATTATAAAGAGGTAAAGTATCTAACTTTGTTTGTTTGTTGGGGGTAATATTCGGAAATACTGATCCGATCATGAAAATTCTTTCACATACGGGAAACTTGATACATGGTTGATACTCATAGGCAATAATTTACGCGGGCAAAGTCGCGGGACGAAGCTAGTATACTATAAACTATAAGCTATTTACCGGTTAAATTATATTTCGTTAGTGTTAATATATATAGCAGTTGAACCTTCGACACTCTTATGAGCCGACCTAATCATTGCAAGATTACAATTATTTTATTATTTATTACATATAATTATTTAATAAAGAACTAGAAATGGCTCTTAAGCATTTTAGTACCCGTTTCAGTTCAGATCCTTTGAAAGATTCATATTATCATAATACTAGTCAAAACACTGAGACTTTTCTGTTAATTTTTCCTTAATAATGGCTGAATGGCGTTTTTATTTAATTGTATAATTATCATTTAGCACCCAATATTATCAGTAATGAATGAAGAAACGAAATTTTTAAATATTATTTAAACGCCATTGACACGCTAATATTAAGCTAAAATTGGCAGAATTTAAGGCCTAGAAATCTTATTCATGACACATAAAATACTATTAAATTGCAGTTGTCAAAATGTTTCGCCGCTATGTTTATAGCAACAGCTCCCTTTAATCAACATCCGAACTTGATAAAATTTCTTCAAATATTCCCAATAGTTACCGCTAGAGAGCGCTGCACTGAAATTTATCTCCATCTCATACAATTGCAAAGCTCTCCGTGAGAATCAAAGATATGAGAACTCGTATTAAACCCTATAGATTAACAAACGGTAAAGCATTCTATTGAGGTTTATGTCTAATATCTAATATTATCCAATAAACTATCAATGATATAATATTACCAACTATTTACCTATAGGTACCACAGATTTATTATTAATACGTCGTACAGATATCATTGCTTCCGCATCTATTCTCATTAGAGTACCAAGACTATTGATAACCTGTGAAAAGTTTCTTCAAGTACAGTTATAACCATAATAATAAATCATAAATTACGGCGTAGTGATCCAATCTTAATGTATTTGATATTTATCTCCATTTTGTGCCAAAGATAATACTATAAAACTAATGCCAATAGACATTCTCCAGTAGCATAATCAACTGAATTCGTGACCATTTAACTGCCACTAATTCGGAATATGGATATTAAGTATAACAAATATTTATTGTTTTAGTTTATTCAAATTCTCGTCTATTGGTTAAAAATATATGCTTATGTTATAATATTTTTTCAAGTTATTTCAACAAATCTCTAGCTTTAATTATGAAAAAAGGAAACAAAAATATTTAAAAGACGCTCGTTCTAATGTAACAAATCTATGCAATTTTCCTCCAATCATCTATATTTTTAATCTTCCTTGTATTTTAAAAGAAATAAGCGAGATTAATAACTTAATTTACTTTAGTATTGATTTTAAACAATAAAACCCATCAATTTCTAAAAATACACGTTTTTAGAAGACATAAAAACGAAGTTAACGATTTGTTTTTATTATAATTTCATCATATTGGTTATAAAAAACATTGTGAATTACCATTGCAAATTACATTCTATCAGTAATGTGTCTTATTGCTTTCAATAAAATACAAGTTATTGATATAATTGAATGCACGTAGCGTGTTTACAACTTCTTACTGCTATTGTATTTACGAAAGTTTTACCAGTGTTTTACTTTCACTAACAAACGTAATATTGTTCTACATATTGTGCGGAGGTTTGATATGATTAATAAAACGAGATTTAGATTTGACTAGGTGTTGAGAATTTAATTTAAATGTTAACATAAACGGACACTAAGCATCGAATGATTATAGATAAATTAACTTATCAATTCAAAACTTTCGCCACTCTATTTGGGTACAAAATAATCTCCATGAGAAATTCAGGTTCCCATAGTAAAGTTCCCGTCCGCAAAAGGTATTTAATCTTAATAATTGCGTATATTTTTCATATAATCATATTAATATTATTGTTTTATATATGCATTTGTTTGTACTTCTTTCACACCGCAATGGAGAGTTGATATCGTATGAGATGTTGTTGAGAGGCTAGGTAATTACATAAGCTTATTTTTTGGTTTAAAAAACATTATAGCTGATTATTAGGAAATTGGAAACTTAATTATATCAAAACTATTACCTATTTTTTATTAACTTATACGAAAAGTAGTTTATCCGTATAATTAATTTTTCTCTATTAATACTGTTTTATAAGTCTACTATATATTACCGTAATACGGTACTAAGTAACCTCAAATACCTTCACATGAGGTTAACCTCATGTGAAGGTATTTGAGGTAACTACTCTCTGTTACCTTATGTGTTTAAACACATAAAGTAACAGAGAGTAGTTGGCTTCGATAACACCGTCTATGAACTTTGAGAAAACTAACACTTATAAAAGTTTGTAATCCGCCGCTATATTAGAAATTTACACTAGTTGTCGGCAAGTTCAACACTAATATTACAGGAAAGCAATGCTGATATATCACTGTACCTACCATTACTAAAAATGCTTTTCTTAAAATATCTAAATGTTATTTTATGCCCATAGGTGTGGCTTTACAATGCCTGGGCAGGCATGGCGAAGCCCTCGCAGCATTCAGCTCTGGCTTGGGTGTGGAGCCATCGTCGAGACAACTTCTTGCCGCTTTGGTGGAAGCCTCTCTGAAATCGCCGCTCAGAACTACCCTCGAGCCTACCTTTAGGCAGTTGGAGGCAATGAAGTTGGACCAATCGCCTTTCGTCTTAATATCGGTGAGCAAATAGTTATTGATCTGTAAGCTTACTATGGTTTAATTCCTGCACGCGAAGCATGATGAATTCGATTAATGTTTTGTCTACATACAAGTCATTTTTCTCGGGTGCCACACAATATCTCTCTCTTGATCCGAGAAAGACGTTGACCAATGCGAGGCTGGATTAGCTAATATATAATAGTTCATTGTCTATATTGACTTGACCGGGCCGCAGAAACGGCGATAGCCGGAAATTGGCAAATAAGGTCACGATGGAGGTTATCAAATGATGAATCAATAATAATATTAATAATTATTTATTTGCCCAAAACACGGTATAAAGTTGTCACAGAAATATTAAAGTCAGTCATACAGGAATTTGGTCAACGTCAAAATTAAATTACATTTCATACATTAATTATAAATTGATAAAGTATTATTGAATGTCAGTAATGTCAAGGTTTATATTTATTTAAAAAATATTTCATATTTGGTCTTAAACTATGAAATTTCCGTTTTTCATGAAATAAATGAAGCGTATTTTTTATATATTTTTATTTCTATTAATAATCCATGCAATTAATGCATATTTGCCAATGCATTGGTAGCATATTGATGCCTTTCTTGAAGATGCAACAAATTCTTCAAAAGCATTCAAGCTGCCTCTCGGGTATTAAATTTTTTTCCCGTAAAGAAGTTATCCAAATTTTCGAAAAAGTAGAATTCTGTAGGCGCAAGGTCTGGTGAGTACGGCGGATGACGGAGAACTTCCAACCCAAGCTCTTGTAGCTTGGCTTGTGTCTGCTATGCAGTATGAGATCGCGCGTTGTAGTGCAGGAGCAGTGGAACTAAATGATTGACCAAAGCTGGTTGGAGGTGTGCGAGCTTCTCCATCATTGTGTTCAGTTTTTCATAGTACACATCTGCAGTAATGCTTGCCCCATTTTTTAAGAAGCTGTGGTGAATTACACCAGCGTTAGACCACCAAACAGTGACCATCACTTTTCTAGGGGTAAGTCTTCGTTTAAGGCATTGTTTGGGTCCTGAACCAGGATCCAACCAACTTGCTGAGTGCTTACGATTGTCGAACAGGATACACTTCTCGTTATAAGTTACAATGCCGTTCAGAACGTCTCAATCAACGTCACGTCTCAACGCGTACTTCGCGCTGGCGATCATTATAGTTCGTGGGGTACCCATTTGTCAAACTTTTTTACCTTCGACGCAAATGGACTAATATTGTTTGGATGCTAACGTCGAAAGCTGCTGCAAATGCAGCCGAAGATTGAGTTTCATCAGCTTCTACAATCGCCTTTAATTTGTCCTTGTCGACCAAAGTTTTCAGCCGACCACGGGGTTCATTTTGCAGATCAAAATTTCCAGAACGGAAGCGGCCAAACCAATAATGGGTGGTGCGTTCATTAGTAATGTTCGCTCCGTAAACATCGTTGATATTGCGTGCTCCCTCTGCCGCTTTGCTGCCACGACGGTACTCATACTCCAAAATTACTCAAATTTTTAACTTATCCATAACGACGAAAAATGATCGAATTCGTTGAAAACAAAACACTAACTATTAAACTAATAATGATTTTAGAAAAAGAATTCCATGTATTTAAAATAAAATTAATTTGAAATTAGAATTATCAGCCAAAAAAAAAGAATTTGATTTGAAATGGTCAGTACGGCAAAACTATTCATAATGTCACTTAGCCACTTATATAATTTATTCTTAATCACGTTAATATTCAAACTATTCCTTTACTTGTCCGACTTAGCAATATCACTAAATATCAATCGTTGAGGATCTCTGTATCTAACATTGTTGACTTTTTTAAACAATTCTTTGTTTTGATGGACAATACAGTCACTTTATAAATAAAAAAAATTGTAATCCATGAGTAAAATAATGGTCTACACCATTAATGGGGTTTGATTCCACGGATAGCCTTAATATTAACTAGTTAATAAACAATTTAAGCTCTCTAAATACGGAAAAATCCTTTTAATTGGATGTTAAATTAAACCGATTTTATTTTATTGAGAAAAATCATCGTAATCGACACTGAGTCCATATAAAAATATCGTGTGAATCCTGGCGCTGTCGATGCATTGAATTTAAGCTTATTTATGCCATCGATTGAGTCCGGTCGACATCTGATACCTGAACGTACTTGATACGAAATAACGACAACCATTTCTCACGGCTCGTCCCGAAAATGTCCTGATTGATTTTGTTTTTGCGTACACACATTTCATATCTCCGTAATCGATTTTGAAATTTACTACCAATAAATTAAGGTTTTATATTGGATTGGAGAAATTTAATACGTTTGTATAATGATCATTATTTGTTTCAGTTTGGTTATAGATTGGTAATAAATTCGTTTTATGTAGATATCACGTATAATTCGTTTAAATTTTCTGTAACTATTCGTGTAAATAAAAACCGGCCAAGTGCTAATTTCCGTACCGAAAAAGAGCAAAAAAATCACGTTTGTTGTATAGGAGCCCGCCTTAAATATATTTTTTACTAGTTTATACTATTTGTTGTTATAGCAGCAACAGAAATTCTTCATCTTTGAACATCTCAATTGTCTAACTTTCACGGTTTATGAGACGGACGGACAGCCTAGTGACAGAAGGACAGCGAAGTCTTAGTAATAGGATTCCCGTTTTACCCTTTGAATACGGAACCCTAAAAAGTTGCAGCATAAGAAAATCAAATTACCAATAAATTATAATTCATTGGTGATCATACAAAATTTGAACTTAATCCCCTAAAAATATAAAAGCTTAAAATATAGGATACTTATCTGTATGTAGATTACTTATAAAGGTATGTAAAATATTTATCATCACCACCGGCCTATTAACGTACCCAGCAATGAATGGTATTCGGTGCAAATTGGTGTGTGTTAACAACTGCAGGTGCAGCCGAGACCAACGGCTTAACGTGTCTTTCAAAACACAGAGGTATTCGAGATGATAATTTATTGGTCACCCATCCTATAATCGGCCTTTGCGAAAGTTGCTTAACAACTGTATCGCAGATCAATGCGCTACCGAGCTTCTCAGTACTACAGCTGAAGCGAAAATATACATGGATAAGTTTAAATACCTCTACAATCCCTCTTTTAAAATTTTTAATGATGTAATGGCAAATGGTAAAGTTTAAATTTGTTGTTTCTACTGGTAATGTTGAATCTGTGGGTTGAGTAAACAAATAGTAAAAAAATATGTTAGCAACAAAGTAACAATGGCAACTGCCTTGTTTACTTCCCTGGCAGCATAAGTGCCAGAGATGTAACCAGGAAAACAAAATGAAGCCTAAGTATAAGAAACAACATTTTTATTTGTATTAGTTATACTAACGAAAGCAAAATAATCCTGCATAAGTATAAATATTTGATGACAGTCAACCGATCAAGTAATTACAATATTCCAAAACAGAAAAGAGTTCTTACCTGATCTTTCTCAAGTTGTAGCAAAAACGCTACCAATAGCGAAGACTAGAGGATATATTTTACCGACGTATCTATCAACGAATGTTATTATAATCTTTGAATTGTTTAAATATATTAATTTATATATATCATATCAATCTAGTTGGGGCATTTAAAAATATTCAGTTTCATAAACGACTCAAAATATATGATATAAAAAGCATAGTACGAGTATAACAGACATCCCGGATGCGACCCTGTTAAAAGGTCTTTACATTAAACGTTCAGTCTACATTTGCATACATTCCCGTTTAGCCGGTGACATCTGAACATTTTTCGGCGCATTCGCAACACAATGGGGCTCGACTGATCGGGCCCCATAAATATGGGCCCCAGGGATTTACATACAATCTGCGACGTATGATAGGCAGCCGCCTGCCGAAACAGACTCCCGCCAACCAAAACGACACCGATTACGATTTAGGACTCGTCCACATTAAAGAATATGTCGCGAATATAAACCATTTTTAATGACGTTACACACGCTACACATCCTAAAACAATATGTTGATACCAAATACATAATACAGAAGCCCACGTAACTTGTCCAATATAATGAGTGTATGCAATTCATAGATTAATTTAGCATAAATTCACTAAGAACCATCGCATTGTCATCAAAAGACCTGATAACACCCGCTATAATTATATAATCGAGAGCCCTATTACAATTCACATTCGCGACATGTTCGTTAGGATTCGCCGATGTGGGCGGATGCTTTAAGATATTTTTACGGTATTCTTAATGATACAGAAAGCACGTCGCATGGTACTGGATATTGTTACTTAGCTGACGTTTATTGGACAAAGGATTTACGACTCATCCCATGTTGGTTTATTTTTGTTTTTCTACAAAAATTGCAATCTATTAATAAAATGTAAAGTACACGGTGATTAAAATTTTGTTTAATAGTGCATGTGAATGTACTATATATTTTTACTAGTGAATGTACTAACAATTATCGAACAGCATTGAGTGAAGTTTGGAACGTAGAACATATCTGGATTAACATTGGAGCACACGCTAAACCTAACAAAAAAACCTATACAAGATTTGCCGGGTTATGTTTTTGAAATATCACACAAACAAAATTTGGTGACAACACGCCCAATTGCCGATTTTGCTTGGAGTCAGTGCAATATATTATTCTCTACCATATTTTGTCGTTAGCAGCCATTTCAGTTTCATTTCGTTTTTTCTTATACATGATACGATACGATATGAATATTCTGATTTGCACTATGAAACAAATTAAAAAAAGAATATCAAACTACGATAGATACAGTAACACAAAATGCGATCTTATAGCTTACGGCCTTATTACACATAAATATTTCATAAAAAAAAAAACTTTGTATGTTACCACATGCACATTGTCAACTTACTTGAACATTTCATCTTATTGATATTGCGTATAGAACACACTTTACATTTTATGATGACTCCGTAGCCGAGTGGTTAGCACGCCGGTTTCAAGGTCAATGTAGAAAATGAACTTTTCTATGTTTTCTCGGGTCTGGGTGTTGTGGTGATACCTTCATTGTCTCAGATCTCAGATATAATTCGGGGACTTGACATTTGAGCAATGTATGTGATATTGTTTATGAAGTATTACCAAGTATTAGTTTGGGTCACAGATATTATAATAGTGAACTAAAAATACAGATAGGTATACTGTTTATATTAGTGTTAAATCCGTTTGTTTATGCTTATTTGTAATTTTTACTAAACTTCTAGAAG